TAATTTTTGATTTTTTGTAAATTCCCAAGAGTACATGATTTATTTAAAAAACATAAAAAAATTCAAAATGATAGTCTAAAATAAGTTTTTGGAGAGGTGTAAATTTTTTTTTATGACAACAAAAACGTTTACTAACTATATTTTTATTAAAAAATCCAAAATTAAAAAATTAATTAAAAGAGGAATTTTCACCTTTGAGTGTGAATATTTCGAAAACCAATCATTTTATGAGTTCTCAACAATGATTTATTTAAAAAAACATCAAAAACGTAAAAATATAGTCCACATAAGTTTTTGAGCAGTGGCGTAAAATTTAGAGGGGATGCCGTACGCCACTGGCAAAGTTTATTCAATTGATTGTTTTGTCGATATATGAACGCAGTTAATAAGTATTTAATAAGTTTAGAATGAATTTACATTAAATAATTTTCATAATTTAATTTTAAAAACTTCAATATAATAAAAAGTACACTTTTCATCTCAGTTTTTTGTGCTATTTTCAAATTTGCAAAGTAATTTTGAAAAGTCATATACTGGGAACAAAAAAATTTATTGATTTTCTGTTAATCCGGACCTGGATTTCCTTGTGCCTAGTACGTTACTCAATTGGGCAGTGGATGGAAAATATAGGGATAAAATATTAAAACAACATATTGTGTGATTCGTTAGTTCTGGCACTAGAACCAATGGACCAAATCGATAAAACACCCTTGGTAGTGTGAATAAAAATTCATTGCTTTTCTGGACCTTAATTAAAGTTTCATTTATCAAATAATTCGTATTCACCAATTCTAGCTAAAAATGTTATTAATTGAAAAATAAACACAATTTGTTATCAATTTTCAAGTAATAGCAAATGATTAATTTTTATTCACACTACCCCCTGTATCTTGGTTATAAACATTAAATATAAAGGATAAATGCTAAGTTGATACTATTTTTAAATGTGTCATTAAAATAAACATATTTTTCAAAAAATTAAAAAATCTAAATCCGGGTTTGGGCTTGTTTATCAAAATTTAAGTTAAATGTTTGTTATCTATTTTATTTTTTTTATTTTTCTTATGTCTGAATCACGCGTCACCTGTTATTGTACGTAAATAAACCGTATTGTATACATTTTGGAATAAATTAATGTAAATTTCTTATTTTTAATTTTTATTTTTTTTGAAGAAGTTATTTGAAAAAGTTGTTTATTTTAATTGACTTCGATACAGTCAAAAAAAGTTTTAACTCAGGATTCACCCTGAATCTAAAATATTTAGAACCACCTTGTAGATAGGTAGGTACAGCAAGAGTGCCGAGGCTGGGGATATTTCCGTAAAAAGAAAATTATTTCTAAATTCAAAGAGTTACGAAATAAATAAGAAACTCTAATAGATTTCCTTTAAATGAAACTAGTCCCTTTTAAGATCGTCCTGTATACATTTTTGGTGAAACTGTTATTAAAACCTTAAAAAAAGAATTTTGGGTTAAAATACTTAAGAAAGATGCTACGCATGACGTACATTTTCTTAATCACATCGTTTTTTAACAAAAACTGGTTGTTTCTTTCTGACCTACATCCAGTAACTATTACTAATTAAGTCACTGCTAACATTTTTTTTTTGCAAATTTACATATTGCAAAATGTTGATCTGTAGACAAATATTTCTATTAAACACATTTAAAAATACTTGATTGTCAAGGTCAAAGAATAATCAAAATTTGATAAGCTGTAATATTTATATACGTAACCGAATAAATAGCATTACGTACAGAATGATTTAAATAAATAAAAAATAAATTTGGAATTAAATGTGTTGCTGGTATTAAGAAGCGCCCACTAACGAAAATAATTTGGAATATTAGCATTTAGCAGAAATGTTGTGAAGACGAATTTTTGAAAATAACTTGAAAATTTTAATTTTTGAAAAAAATTACCTGTACCTTTCACTGATATTACCAAATTGTAGTATGAAGAAACATTCCGAAAAAATGCGCTATTTCACGTATTTTTGAAAAATTATTGTCCGTATTTACAATTCAGGACAAATTAGCAAACTTCTACAACGCCACTGCTATAATACTTAAAATGTTTAATCTGACATCTACATTTTTCTACACTATACAAATAAAATCGAAGGAGAAAGTTATTTTAATTTATTTTATTGTACTAAAATTTCGTTGTTAAATGCTCTACTTAAGTTTTTTTATGATCTGCATTAATCTTAATAATTATAAACCGGTTGCTCCTAACTACAGAATTTTTTTTTGCCTCTTGTATCTATCACATGTATACATGTAAAAATTTTTCAGAATCATTTAAAATAAAATAAAACTATTCACAAGTATACACGGTTTTCGATCTAAGCAACCAAAAGTTGTTTCTAAGGTTATTTGGGGCGCTGAATCCGAATATGCACTACGTTTTTTGATATTGGTTCTAGTTTTCGAGATATTAAATAAACACATTTTTTACAATTTTTGACAATTAATCTCCAGTTTATTCATTAAAAAGTGTTAAATTAGAAATGAAGAGCAGTCGAACTGAGTCGCTTGTACTGTTTGGGATCTGTTTCACGCATTAAAGTCCAACAGTAGTCGCTCATCATGCCCTCGTTCCAAAATCCTTGGTATCGTTTTTCGATTTTCGCCAAATGTTGGTGTAGTCGCTCTCCTTGCTCGTCGCTTGTATCACCCAAGTTTTCAGGAAAAATTCGAGATGGGAATGCAGAAAATATATTTTGAGAGACATCCGAGCTCCAAACTTGTAATAATTTTGCAACAAACTGTCGATTATCTGCTTGAAATCCGGGGATTTGCGGTTACCGAGAAAGTTGTGAACAACATCTTGAAATGATACCCATGCTGCTGCTTCATTGGGCGTTAAACATTTTGTAAAGTTTCTGTCGGCCATTAATTTTCGAATATCAGGTCCGACAAATATTCCTTCTTTGATTTTGGCGTACGACAATTTGGGAAATAACTTGGCCAAGTACTCAAAAGCCGGTCCTTCTCGGTCGAGCGCTTTGACAAAGCTTTATGTGGAGAGGTGGCAAGAAAATGTTCTGTGGGTTCACAAGTGGTATAGAAGAGACGTTTTGTTTTCCTGGTTCATAATTAGTACGGCTTGGCCAATCTTTTTTCACATAATGTTGGTCAGTTGCACGGCTATCCCACAGACACAAAAAACAGCAAAATTTGGTAAAACCAGATTGCATCCCCATCAAGAAACCAATAACCTGTTGGAATAGTATGTAAATCATTTATTCTTTAAAACTGAATTGAAATTTATTTTCAAACCTTCAAATCGCCACAAATTTTCCATTGATGCTCTTTATATTTTATCTTGGTCAAAATTTTATATATTGTATCGTAGCATTCCTTCGTTTGTACTGCATGAGCAATCGGAATTGATGGTTTTATGTTTCCATTGTGTATCAGAGCAGCTTTCAGGCTGTATTTTGAACCATCTATGAACAAACGCCATTCATTTACATCGTATGGTGTATTCATCGCAACAAACAAACCGTTGATGTCATAGCAGAAGCATATATTCACCTCTTTTTTGAAAAACGGTAAAAGCGCCTCATTTCTGGTTCTATATACAGTGACTTTGGTTTGAGTGTCAAGATATTTCCACTCCTGTATCCGTGATGCGAGCAATTCTGATTTTTGTTCCGATAAATTTAAATCACGAACCAAATCATTGAGTTCACTTTGCGAAACTAAATGTTTTTCATCCATGTTAAAATCGCTTCCACTGTTCGTCGGTGATGAACTACAAGTTTCCATGAAATTTGCACTCGTACCTGGACAATTTGGCAAAGGATCATTGCTCGTACGGGGAACTGGCTTAGACACTGATGATACTTCAGGATATTTATATTTTGCTAATTTTTTTGCATTTAGACCGACAACATTCATCAAGCAAAAGTAACAATCATCTACATGATTTTTCGGCTCTCTTCATAACATTGGCAATGAAAATGAAAAACATACTTGTTTACCGCGTGACCACTTGTATAATATTGTGCTACACGCGTTACAAACCAATTTCGGTACCCACGGCTTGTTAGTATTTGATACAGAGAAACCAAAATAATAAAAATATGCATTTCTGATCACATTAGTAATAACTTTGCCACTTTTTCTGATCATATAACATCCGCAAACATAACAAAAACACTTTGAATCAACTTTACAATTCCGTCTTTGCATTTTTACACGTTTTGGATAAAAAAAAAAAAACTTTAAAAATACAAATTAAATAATTTTTCTAGCGACGCCAACAGCTAACTGTCATTATGATAGCGCAGTGCTGCCAACATGCGCGAACTCACAAACTAGAATCAATTTTGAAAAACGAAACCGGGATTTGAATTCAGCACCTCAAATAACGTCAAGATTTGTTCTTATCTGCTCTGATCCAAAAGTTGACCAGAATTTGTAAACTTGTGATCTTTTTCACCTATTTGTGGCATAACTACCAATAAAAGTAATAAAAATAAATGAAACAATGAAACTTTTAATGTGAATTAAAATTACTAATAATTTTTTCAATCTTTTTTTTTTTTAGAAAAAGTATTTTTCTGAAAATATATCGCTTCAGGTTTTTACTTGTTTTCATTTCTTTTTGACTTTTACTTTTTACCCTATATGTAATTTTTTTAAAAATTTAATTTAATTACCATGAAAAAAAAATGCAATTTTCTGATTTAATGAATTAATAATTAAATACACTAATGTAGAATGTAAATATTATTATAAATCTGATTGACAGATTTTCGATTGTCATCCTATTAAAGAAAACATATTTCTGCGATATATTAATATAAATGAAGATTTATTATTTGTTCGTTTATTTTTAGAATAGCTGCAACCATATTTATAATAAAAATATGTTATCAATCTATATATAAACACAGTTAATTTATAGGAATATAAAAAATCAATCATCAAAGAATTTATAATATGGTTCATTCAATTGATAAAGTTATTAAAATAGTAATACTTACCATGATAGAACATCCTAAAAACATCGGAATCGTACAATCCACAGGCTCCTTTTTCTCCACAAGACATTTTCCATACCAAACAGGCTGAATCCACCACAGCTCCGTACACTATTGGACAAGGAACATTTCCAAAAAGCCCTATCGCAAATTGAATCAGTCCTAGAGCCATAGCTTTATCCCTGGGATCAACACACCTCAAAATCAAAAGCATTGAACCCACTTCCCCAGTCGAATGTATAAAAACAAATATAGAAAACAGAATAATATAGAGGATGAAAGTATCACAGTCCTGTTCACAGTATCCAATTGTGGCATTACCATATAACTGGTTACTGTCGAAGCTTGTATTTGAAGCTAAAGTCATATTTAAACACATACATTCTGAATACATTGCTACTTTCCCGCCCTTTTCTGTGTAATTTAAGCACCCCGCGTGGCAAGGGGACAGGTAGGTTTTTCCGTCTTGACCACAAATTGGGGTAAATTTGTCTTTGTTACAATCACAGTATCCTGGATTACAGTTGAGCTGCACAGTATCAAATCTGAAACCAAGACAAGCTGTCAAAAACATTACAGAATTGCTTAATAGTAAACTAAAACAGGTGCATAATAAACCTATAAATATAAAACCTAAAATTAATATAAAAGTAATAATAATAATAATAATACTCTCCCTAATTTACCCCCTTATGAGTGAATTTTAATCCCAAAAGCTGAGCTTGTCCGGGGAAAGGGACGGCTATTATTATTATTTGCCGTGGCGCTCCGGGGCGACTTAAAGATGATTGATGGTGCCATTTGACTTACAGGTGAGGAAAAGTCCACCCACCATCATCGAAAACGGTAACACATGGTGATTTTAATAATCTGGATGTCCTATCAACAAAAATTAAATTTCTGCTAATACGGAATCCATCAAATCCTATAGAGAACCATGCAAATAAATTCACATGGTCTTCCGTAGGATCTGAAACCGGGTCTCGTTTAACCAGAAAATTATGTATGTCTGTCCAATGTATACTTAACAATCAAATGTAAGTAGTCTCTTGTTAAAGAAAATAGGGTGTCAGATATTGCCGTGCTCCTTTGCAACACTAGGTGGCTAAATATGTGAAGAGGAAGGTAGCATTAAGTGTATGAAGACCCCATTGAATAATAAATTTAGACTGGATAATTTTACAAGCCATTTAGGGATCCTAAAGCAAATTTCATGACCATCACAACAATCATGCCATGAAACTGGATATGAATATACTATTATGAATATACGTTTATCAAAGACCACGAGTATGAAATAAAAATAAATAAAAAAAGAAAAAATGTTATGGTTATTATTGTATTACTAGGTAGAATCTGGTACAATTTGCAATTCAACGAAGTAAGTAGCACTATAGTGTACCCACATTTTTCTTAATGATGAATCAAATAACAATTTTTACGGGACAATTCAAGGTTGGGATTTCAATTGCATTCAACAATAAAAACAATCCATAAAAAATCTATTCTTCTGATTGATGAGTCGTTATTTTTTACTTTCTATATTCTCTCTTTTTTCTATAGCCAATGACCTCTCAAAAGAGATTTGAACTAGTTACATGTCTATTCAATCAATTTAACTAAAATTAACATTAAGAATCAATGACGGCAGAATAACGGGGATGCGGGCATACAATGTTCTCCCTAAAATTATTCCTCGTACCATTTCATGATCTTAAATAGGATTGGTTTTAAATAATACAATAGACTAAAATTAAAATGATCTAAATGGGTTTTGTTTCATTTTTGATGAACGATTTTGTAAATAAATTAAACTCTTACTTATTATCCATGAGACCTGCTAAGTCATTCGTAGGACAACCAATGAACATTAGAATTCCCATTCCTAAAAAACGTTAATAATAATTATGTTTACTTAGAAAATATGAACACTATTATTATAATATACCTATTGAATACAGAACTGCAGTTATTGCAATCCATCCAGCTACAAATCTAGCATTTGGTTTAACTTTTAAAATAAATACTCCACTAATTATAATTCCAAGCCCCATCACAAGTATCCCACCAACACCTGGAAGAATATTTTCATTATTTATTATCAAATATTAAAAGTGTTGCTATTTAAAAGAATAGTACTATCTAAAAAGAAGTGCCTAACTCTTTATTGCATTTTTATACTTGATCCTTGGAAACGTTTGATTTCATAGGCAGTCGGATCTGCATTATAAGATGGTCAGTTTTTAGAAATAAAACTATTAACAAGTAGAGCCTTCTCGAAAAGCCAGTTTAATAAAAAAAGTCACTAGTACACCTTTTATTTCCTAGATGACAAATTAGAAATAGGCTGCGATACCACTATGTATTGACTTAAAATATGACTCAAAATAATGAATAGAATTATTACACTATTGATCATGTATTGTATATATGAATATAGTTTAACTTAGCTAGTGACTGGATAAATCTAATTGAGAGAAGACAAAAAATTGGAGAAAAAAAGGAGGATTAGGTACACAGCTGACAAGAACGTTTTTTATTTTGTCTGGTTCCCCCACTCCTGTGAAAAAAGTTAAGGATGTGTATTTCATTCGCTCAGTTGGGAGCGGACTGCATAGGCTTTCCTAGTCTCTTCAGCCGCATTGGAGGGATCAGGGATCTGGAGTCTGATGGGATGGGGGTGGAAGGAATGGTGGTAGGTATCTGAGAGGATGTTACTGACCCAGCTTTTGTCTATTGCTATCTAAACTCATCTAAACTCATAGCAGGTCAAGAGGCAGTGGGACTCGAACCCACTATCTGTGACCGTGGATCATTGTAAAAGACCGGAGTTTTATTATCTGTAATTATGAAACCTTATTGATTGAGTATTGAAGTTTCAATAACATCATTTTTTGTCAAGGGTACATAATTCGTAATAGAAATTACTTATAAACAACTTTAAAGGATAATGACTATTAAATGAATTCAGATAAGTGATTATATATAGGTACAATACACCAAGTTTGACAAGTATCTGTGGAAGCAGCAGAAGGTAAATAGGTTAGGCAACAAATTTTTAGATCTTACTTCGTATTTTCATTATGTTTAAAGATATATTTCTTACCTGATATCATATTTGCTGAGGGTGTAGGTAACCTAAATTGCGTTTCGAGGTATTTTGGTAAAAACGTATATAAGCCAGCTATGGGTAATATGTGCAAAACGCTACTGGCAGTTCTATACATAAGAATATCGTTGTTCAACAGCCTTTTAAGTGTTTTTGGAAAATCTAAAATACAAAAATTAGTAATATTATTAATAAAAAAATTGTACTTCTTTTCGCATCAGTGTAAATACTATCGCTTTCAAATGTGGCCATCTTCAATGAGACAATAAAACACAAGTATTAGGTTTTAAATGAAGATTAAATATAATGAATGCATTATTTTAGAAATTAAAAGTATTATTATTATGAAACAAACTTACTTATTCTGTATATTGTAACAGATCTTCACTGTTTATAAATGTTTACATATTGAGCCTAGTAGTAGTGGAAGTTTTAGTTGTGACTCCCAATTAAAAGTATTTGGAGTTTTATAGGTAGACCTTCCTTGTTGAGTCTTTTAAGATTTAACCACTGTTTTCGTAGCATGGAAGGAATGTGACTAGATATTTTTTACTTGGTGGTAGCGTGGTCAGAGATTATGTTAGAAGACGTGTGGATAAACCTCTGAAAGGAGGTTATTGACTTTCTTATTGGACATAGATGAATATTCTGATGGGACGCATTGGTTATGAGGTCCCAGACGATGAAAAGCTTAATGAAGGAAAAGACAAGCCAAAGGTAGCTAATATGAAGTTCCACTCCTGAGGGTTTTAAAATTTGGTTGTTGTTAGTGGTGTGTATTGCAGCAACATCTGCAAGATTGCAACCAATTCTAAAACTTTATAAATATCTGCACTTTTTATTATTCGATGCTTGCACCAATACGACATACTCATTCTGCGTACTAATTTGCCGAAACTAGTCGCCTAAATTAAATAAATCTGTGAGGTACTGATTTGGCGTTTTATTGTCTCATTAAAAAATATGTGATCTATTTAAATTATTAGGATAAGGAATAAGGTAAATGTATTTGGTTTGTTTTCTAACTTACCCCTTATACTGGGATGCTTCTTATCAGGGTGATACGGTATTTTCTGGGGCTGTTTAGACCCCGTCAGCCTCTTTGGAAATGCAAACATAGCAAACGATGATAACATGAGTAGTGCAGATATTAGGACCAAACCTAATAAGAAATATAATTAGGAAGCAATTTTAAAAATGTACATTATAAAAATTTAGTACCTAGCCACCACGCTCCCACCCATCTTGGGTCAGATGAGTCAATTTTTGGATCGATTGATAAATCTGCATACACGCTTGTGCATAGAGCGCCTACTATAAAGCCCAAAGCAGGTCCCAATATTCTTACTCCAATAGTTATGGCTAAAATATAATCAATAAAATAAAAAATATGTGTCATTTTAATAGGCATGTATTTTTCTGGCATTTCTAACAGCCAAGTTTATATTATTTTGTTAGAAACCACCATCTTAACAATCAATCTGTTATGGAGGTGTGTGATTCAGAAGATATTTTTCTATAAAACTGTCAGGTAAGAATATACTTAAATATAGGTTTTGTATTTATCGCAACAAATAATATATCTCCATCAAAATGCAAACCGGAACATCATTTCATCACTGCAGGGAGAGAGAGTCACTTTCAGGCCTGCCAGAGGATGTCCACAATGTGGCGTATTTTCACCCCTAGTGTGGACCATTCTGGTGGATAACCTGTTACACGATCTCTTTCGGCAAGGAGTGCATTTTCAATGCTATGCGGATGATCTGGTTATCATAATTAGGGGGAAGTACGAAGAGGTAATCTCCGACATCCTTCAACGAGCCCTAAATACGATCAACAGAACGTGCGAGATTGAGCAGATGTCTATTAACCCCCAGAAAACTATTATTGTCCCTTTCGCCAAGAGAAGAAATCTCGACAACCTACCTTAGCCGGTGAAACTATTCCTTTTGCGAAGGAGATGAAATATCTGGGGATTATCCTAGATAAGAAACTCACCTGGAACCCCCAATTGGAAAAAAACAACAAAGCCAGATTATCCCTCTAGACCCTCAGAAGGATATGCGGCTAAGCATGTAGAATCAGTCCTCAACTGATCTAGTGGATTTACCAAACAGTCGTAAAACTTATGGTTACGTACGGCCCCGTCGTCTGGTGGGACTAGAGTCTTCAACGGATGGCTAGAGCAAAGCTGGCTGGAATCCAGCGGCTTGCGTGCCTCGCCATTACTGGAGCAATGCCAACCACACCGATGGGAGCCATTGAAACTATGCTGAACCTAACCCCTCTCCACGTTTTGCTGGAAACAGAGGTCTCCTATAGACTCCTGAAGACAATGAAGAACTGCGATGGGACAATAAGGGGCTGATGAGTGAGATTAATAACCACCACATCATCGGCATGATCTCAGACTCGCTAGTTCCCCGACAGCACAGAAAAGTCATACATCGTCCTTATTTCAGAGAGAGACGTATGGAACAGGGGGGGATAAAACCCTCTCCCAGGAGGGCTATGCGCTGAACACGGACGGATCCAAAACAGAAAAAGGCTCTCTGGCCACGATCTTCCAAGCAGAAATGATTGCTGTAGAATTAGGAGCAGAGATTAATTTTCTTCCCGCGAATAAGACTATAAAGATCTTTTCGGATAGTCAGGCAGCCTTCAAGGCTCTGAGTTGACTTAAAGCTGGTTTGGAACTGTATAAATACCCTCGTGTGCCTCGGTGCCCGAAACAAGTTACTTTGATCTGGGTTCCGGGACACAGCGGTGTGGAGGTCAATGAAAAAGCCGACGCGCTCGCTAAAAGAGGAACCGAAACTGAGTCCATAGGGCCAGAACCATTCCTGGACTTTGCAAAGAGCACTGCCAGAGGAATTATCTCAAAATAGATGGAGGGTGCAACACTCACGAACTGGAGAGATACCTCAGGGCTAACTCATTCGAATGTGTTTATTACTAACTCTCACACAACAAGCAATTGGTAAGATAGATAATCTAAGATGGTAGTATAATAATTAACCATTTCAATTATCTAAGATATCCAAGGCTCTTGATTTAAACAGGAACATGGAAGGACCAGAGAGCCCATTCACAAGAGTAATATTTCTGCTTGACGGAAAATAGCTAGGCGAATAGTCACAAAAACCATTATAAATTAACCATTTAAATTCTCTAAGATAAGGCTCTTGATTTAAACAGGAACATGGAGGGACCAGAGAGCCCATTCACAAGATTAAAATTTATGCTTGACGAAGAATAACTAGGTGAATAATCACAAAAACCCAAACTCGCATGCAGTACCTCAATTGGTACTACATCTGTAAGAGCCAAGATTAAACAGATTTGCTTGGGTTTACACGATTCCACCACGTATAGCCTATGAGTGGAAGATGCAGAAACCTTATACGATATTATCTTCTACTGCGAAGCTCAAACTAGGCAGCCACACAACATTTTTTATCTATAACCAGAAAGAACATTTGGTAAGCAATCTAATACCCTTATCTGCTTATTACCCCGGTAAAGACAAATATAAATTAGTTAAGAAAGTAATAAAAAATATCTGGGATAAATGAATACATACATACCTATGTATGTAAAAATTAAGGATTAATTCATGTAAAACCATTAATTGTGACATATTTTGTTAGAAACTATATAAATAGCGATAAAATTAATTAATAAACTAGTTAAAATATAGTATGAACCACACCTCTATAAGTGAATGGAGTAGGTGATAATATGTATAAATATAACTTACCAAAGTATAAAGGTGACTCTTTACTGGCAACGTTGTCATCGATATAAGGAATACCTAAAGTGTACACAGCTGTTTGACCCATACCAACTCCTAGTAAACTTATAAAGAATATTGCTAACACTATATTAGTCACAGATGGCGCTAGCCGGTAACCCGAAGTAATGACTTCCTCTTGGCAGTTTTCTGCATCAAGCAGTATACCCGTACTAAAATTATCAGACATTGTGTGATTGGTGTAACTTAATAAAAACGACGTGATGTTACCGTCCTTAGATTTACAAACATTAGGGTCTTTAACGATTCCTGTTAATTCGTTCGCGTTAATAAGCTGTCGACCGTAAATAAAATGTGGTAAAGAACAAGTGAAAGAAGATACAGCGAACAGTACCATTCCCCACGCAATCCATTTAGGTCTGTGTCCCTGTCCCCCATAGTAGGTCAACAGGAGCGATGATCCAATTTGACCGATCTCGGTAGCACTCATTATTATACCGGTAATTTTCGATTGAATTTGAAAAAGTTTTTCTATAGTTGTTATTGCACTGACAAAGTATGTGTGGTACATGCCTTGAAGCACCCATGTTAGACAAAATACTATAAGAAACGACTGTTTCGAAGCGAATTTCTGAAGCCAGGCTGGAGCAAATGGGCCCAAACCGCACTCCATCGTTTCTTCTACATCCTTATAGGTTCCGTTACATTCTTGGGTTAGATTGGTTTGTTCTTCAGGTAGCTCGTTTGTTGGACCATTGTTGTTGCTGGATTTTTCCAGCATTCTGTGGTTTTCTAGGAGATCGTCTTCAGCGGTCATTTTTGATAAGTTGGTAAATCAGACTATGGGTTGTGATGTATTGGTTTGAAAAATATCACTGTTAGGCAGTTGGGAATATTTTTGGCTAACTCGGGATAGCAATCATCTGAAACAAATAAAAAATATATTAATAATAGTAATAAAAATAATTTATTTACTAAAATATAGAGTAACAATAAATATTTGAAAAATAAATGTATAAATACAAGAATAAAGATATAGCTATAGGTTTGTTCGTAGAGACAGTTTCAAACGGTTGGTGATTCTTTTATGATGCGCATGCGCGATTTTCAACGGTTTGGGATTTATTGTCATTTTTATGCTCTGCGAACGCATATTTTACAGTTGTGGATTCTTCTCTACTATTCTCGTGAATTAGATATAGATTTAGTAAACGGTTAAGAAAAAGAAGAAATTGTGTTTATAATTTGCACCCAGATTCCCATTTTATCAACATATTTTACTTTTATTACCTGTTTTAAAGTTAAAGGCTGATATTTTATCAGGATACTGAATGGTAGGTCTTTGTGGTCTTATGTTATTTATTAATTGTTATGTATCTGTACTAATTACACTTATAAAAACAACTAATCAAATCAATATAAGTATTGACGAATTAAAAACACATAAACGGACATAAATTTCAAGCCAAACAAATGTCAAATTGTAGGTTATTAAAAATAATTCATGTACGCATGCCCCGGATTTAAAATTCGGAGAATAATCAGGGATTTTTCCAACCGTTTCCAATCAGTTGGCAATAACTTCATTTGTTTCTACGAACACCAAATTAATAATTGGAAACTATCAGTGATTCTTCTACGAACGCAAAATAATCAATGCGCATGCGCTGTTCAGTTGGAAACGGTTGTGGATTGCTCTACGAACAAACCTTATATTAAATCAAAGGTTCTCAAATGCGGCGATACCACCTCCCAGTGAGCGCTGAAAATTTCTATGGGGGCGATAGTGTATCCAGAGGCAAGTGGGGGGCGTTAAGGTAATCAAGAGGGGGATGCATATCCTATATAAAAATATTAATTTTTCAATTTAAAAAAAAACTGTTCATAAAATATAGTTAATAAATATTTCAAATAAATCTTTTAGAAACATTAAAAACAGTTTTTAAAATATTTTGAAATATTGTATAAGATAACTATTTGTGAAATTAATACAATAAAAGATAATACCTGTTTTCATGAATAAATATTTTATTAAATTTTCTTAAAAATTCAAATTTTACACATTTTGTCAAATTTCTTAAATACGGACCATTTTAGGATAATTATGTACGAAACAAAAATTATGGATAATAAAATTACATGCAAGTTTTATTTAAAGAATTTTCTTCTGCACGTATAAATAACAAATATAGTCCATAAAGTAAAAAAACGACTCCTCTATTAACTATCCCCCTTCCAAATGTTCCGACTATGCCCAAAATTTAATCAGTTTATCGCATTGATTAATGCTTAAATTTAAAATTTGGTGTTTTTCTCTTGATACGTTTTTGTGTTATCTTCAAAATTTGCACTTTTTCTCAAATATCTCGAATATGGTTCATTTTAGACAAATTATGCATGGGACAAGAATTATAGAGAATGACATTACAAACAACTTTTGTTTGAACAGTTTTTTTAAAAATTCGAATTTTGAACTTTTTGTCAAATTTCTCGAATACGGACCGCTTGACTAACATTTTGTATAGAACAAAAGTTATAGAAAATAATATTACAAGCAACTTTTATTTAGGTAAAGAATTTTCTGCTCCAAGGGTAAATAACATATATTCCATAAAGTAGAAAAACTACCCCTATAAGGGTACTTTATGGGTCCCGATGTTCCGACTCTGTCCAAAATCAGGTCTTAAAAATTTGTGTTTTTCTCTATCTGTTCATAAGTTCATGAGTACTATACTTTCCTTATCTGTATACAGACAGTAATGTAAAAGTCATCGGCAACTCGACCTCTGATCGCAAATATTTTTTAGGTACCTACCTTTTTTCGTTCTGTATTCTATAATACCATAGTCCAATATTTCGGTAGACATCTGGCAATTGGTATTTACATCAATTTTTAATATCGATACAGCGACACCTTTTTAAATTGTATTAAGACATAATTATATTATTTTCTCTTGCGGGGTCCATCTATAGTTGACTTATTATTATACAATTATACTTCAAAATAATTTTAATTTGATCTTTCAGTGGTGCTCGGTTTTTTTAATTATAAAAAATAATCCAGGTTTTCTTATATTGTTCATGGCCAAATAAATCAGATTCTCACAGTGAGATCTAGGAGCAACAGTTGTGATGTGATAGACATAACTTGGTCAAGACACGTGGCATCTGTATTCAAACTAAAGATGAAATTATATAGATCTGCAAATATCCAGGTAGGTGAGGCTCCTGGTAGTCCTGGCTCATAATTCCAATTATTTTATGAGAAAACAAATTTACGCGCACTACCTATACTCGTATATCTATTTATTTTTGACATATAGGAAATTATAGATAGAAATTGATGTGCTGGACGTAGTTATACCTAAGTACATTTTCATATTTCTCTGAGAAATCTTACATTTAGTATTTGTGAGAAAATACAAAATACTAATTCACATATCTACTAGTATTCTCGTTTCTGCTTTCGCAAATCGAATTGAAAATATCATACATCCCTCGTTTATTCTTAAATTAGACCTCTTCATGATAAAAGCCCACAAAATTTGGAAAAACCTCATTCGCATCACAAAACAAACATCTGCCAAAATATGTTTACATTTCACCCGGTTTTTTTTTTCATCGTATCGATCCATCCCGCCATTCCAAAAATGTCTGATACGTCTGACTGTGACGTCACAAGAAAATCGATAGACATAGATACATTTTATTAACTAGTAGCTGCATGCGTCACTAGCACACACAGTTCACTGAACTGAGCAAAGGCAACGTTTCGAGTTATTTTTCAAGAAAATCAGAGGCGGCGCTAGGGGTGGCTGAGCGGGGTAGTTACCCCGGGAGTTGAAACTTTTTCGGTATCCTACCCCATTTTCTAGTATTTCTGTTACATTAAGATCAACATTAAGTAGTTATTTTGTGCAAAACATGTTTTTGAGAATATGAAATACAGCAGGAACTGTCACTTTGACAGATGAAAATTAACTCTTTAAGCTTTTTCATTATTTCGCTAATTTATTTAATCTAGCAGTTTGATTGCCTTTGTAAAAAATACGTAGTGGAAAAATCATTAGGTACTAAATCGAGAGAGGCTCTAGTTATCCACTTGGGGGGTCAAAAAGTTGACTGTTGCATTGTGTTGGTCATTATGTGATTACTTTAAAGATCCGTCGATCTATATATATTTTTCCGCAGGCATTAGTGGGGATGAACCTCCACTAAGACTGCCTGTTGTTTTTAAATCTGACTGTGAATTAACAACGCCTAAGCAGTCTGTAAATAATGTTAACAGTTATTATTGTGTGTGTGGGGAACTAACTTTTAAATAACAAAAACCCAAGTCGTATGAAGAGATTGCGAACTTGGATCCCTCACATTTTGTAAGAATCGTGTAACATTGTTAACAAGTTTAAAGGTACAAATCGTAAAATGCACTTTGCAGTGCCAATGTTGCGGAAAGAATCGAAAGACCATGTCACAAGTGGTTATTTTTGCCTCACTTACATAGTGACGAACTTTTCATTTCAAATCCACCAGAATCTTGGAGTTTGAATGCACCGGTGTTTTAACTAATGATAGACAATTCGCACAGTAAATCGACAATGATCCAGTATTTCAAGCACCAGAAGTTCAACAACACAATGATTTAGTTAAGAGATTTCAAAGTAGCAAAATCATAGTCAGAAAGATGTAATCTCCTCGAAGGTGACGTACATATAACTCCGAAAAACTGAAAAAGGACTTTGTTTCGCTCAAGAAGGAAGTTTGGTATACATCTTATTTGACGTATTAAAACTGAAACAAGAACGAATCAATTGGTATCAATTCATTAATTCTTCTAAACTTAGCTCAAAAGCAGTGAGTGCTGGAAAAAATTCAAATTCACCTTAATGTATTTGAAAGTAGAAACATGATTCTAATATAGAAAGAGACTTCTTTGTTCTCTTCTTACAAAAAGAAGACTAAAGAAATTAAACTTATAACACATATTGTGGCTAAGCATAATTATGTAGCAGAAAAATTCAAGAATCAAGTACACTGATACAATGCGTAAGAAACAACGTGCTATCAGATAATTTCGTATAACTAAAACTGTTTTTTTAATTTTATTAATGCAAACTCCTTATGCCGTCCCTGAAGGAAGTATTCTTCTTTTAGCAATCGTGTTGCTAAATATTCAAAGAGCATAGTTCTACATTTAAAATTTCGATTAAGAATTAAATAATATTATGTAATACAACTACAGGATGTGTTGGTATGAAATCTACCTAAAACAGACAAATATTCGTAAAACCATTAACGAATTTTTGGAAAAAATTTGGAAATTCATGTACCAATGTGCTTTTAAAGCTAAAAAAAGACGAAACCATGTTTCAGATTTTTTTGTCTCAAATATTTCAAAAAATGTTTTTTAACCAATTATTGTTATTTTTCATTTTTTATAAATATTTTCTTTTCCAACAAAAAACTTTATAAACCAGTAACTTATATAGAATGATGAGGAACAGAGTAATCAGCCGAAGCTCTATAAGCTTCAGAACCGAAGACACTTGAGATATGCCCCAGGATGAAATAAGAAAGAAGTACAGTGTTGAGAAAAACTTCAGAACCACAGAGCTAGGCTACAAGAAAGAATGGAATCAAGAATCCATCGTGCTTACAACCGAAAGTCATGCTTTTTAATGGTATACAGATGGTTCTAAAACCATAGAAGGAACTGGAATAGCAGTGTATAGACCTAGAAGGCTAGAACCAGGCACTCTAAAAGTTTGGATAATTACCCAAGCATCTTCCAGGTGGAAATTCACGCCAATAAAAAGTGTATCCGGTTCAACATTGAAGACAAGAGATTATCATCATGTCTGATAGCTAAGCAGCCATCAAAGCATAATCAGCTCAAAAATGGGCTGAAGATGCCTCAAAAAAC